TAAGAGCACTCCATGAAGTCATGGTGGCCACATGACCTTGGCGGTGTCTATGGACAACACTGGCTCTTTGGCTTAGAAATTGTGGTGAGCACCACTCCCCAGAATCGGACATGACTAAACTTAATTTCAAGGGGAAACCTTTACCTTTTATTATTAAAACTAATAATTTGAGTAAGGCATTGTTTGTTTTGGGGTGTTAGGTAATATCTCTTAGTTAATTAGTAACACTATTTGAAAAAAGCCACCTTTTTATTTCATTATTTATGAATGTTTCCATTCGAAAATGCATAGGGCTGTGAGTGAACTACAATTCCCCAAACCGTGGGTCAGTCTTCCCTAAACCAGGCCTGTATGCACAGTTGGCCACGTTGCATCTGTGTCCCAAGTTTGGTCCAGATCTGACGATGGGGGCTTCGGAATGCTCTCTGGGTGCAGGGTGAACTACAACTCCCACATGGGTGGGTTATTCCTCCCCCAAACTCTTCCAGTATGTTCTGTTGGTCATCAGGGTTCTGTGTGCCATATTTGGTCCAGATCAGTCATAGGTGAGGTTCAGAGTGTTCTGGATACATGGTGAACTACTACAACTCCTACATGGGTAGGTTAGTCACCCCACAAACACCTCCAGTAAGTTCTGTTGGTCACCAGGTTTCTGTGTTCGAAGTTTGGTTCAGATCTGTCATTGATGGGGTTCAGAGTGCTCTAGATGCAGGATGACCTATAACTCCCACACGGGTGGGTCAGTTCCCCAAACCCCTCCAGTATGTTCTGTTGGTCATGGGGGTTTTGTGTCCCAAGTTTGGTCCAGGCCTGTAATTCATGGTGGTCACAGTGGTCTGTGGAAGTGAGTGAAGGTACTGCAAATCTCATTGTCTGAGTGCCATCCTTCCCCAACCCTCACCAGGAGAGAAAGTGCATCATGCGGAGTCTGTGTGTCAAATTTGGTCCAGGTGCATCATTCGTTCTGGTTGCAGTGTTTTCTGGAAGTGCGTGAAGATACTGAAGTTGTCATCATCCCTGATCCATCCTCTCCCAGCCCTCACCAGGATGTAAAGTACATCATGGAGAGTTTGTGTGGCAAGTTTGGTCTTGGTCCGTCGTTCTTGGGGGTCGCAGTAGTCTCTGGATGTGGATGATGGTACTGCAGATCCCATCTTTTGTGGTCCATCCTTCCCCAAACTGCACCAGGACGTATAGTGGATCATGGGGTACCAATTGTGGTCCAGGTCCATTATTCGTAGGGGTCACAGTGGCCTCAGGAAGTGAGTGAAAGTACTTCAAATCCCATCATGCGTGGCAAATGTGATCCAGGTCTATTGTTGGTTGGGTTCACAGTGCCCTCTGGATGTAGGTGAACTCCCAACTCATATAAATCATGGTGAATTCTTCCCAGAACCTCTTGTTCAGTTGCTGATCAATTCCTGTTTGTTGTGTGCCACAGGAAGGGGTAGGAAAGGGTTAAGGAAGAGGCAGTGGGCGGGGTCGTGCAAATTTCACATCAATGGAAAGAGTAAGAAACCCTGGGATGTCCATTCTGGAGGAAAAACAGAACATCTAGGATGACATTGTCCCCAAATGAAAGCATTCCTTGGATGGTAGGCAGTATGCTGGCCACATGCCCTTGGCGGCCTACTCCACGGCAATGGAGGCAGCCAGAAAGACTTTCTTGACTGCCCGCGTTGCGACTGGCGGAGTTGTTCTGGGTGGTAAGGGAGCTCCTTCACCCTCACCAAGGTAGGAAGAACCTTGACCACCTGGCAACTCAGTGTGACGGGTTCGCACATCATTATGCAGTTAAAGTCACTCAACTGCGTTCCGACTTAAGATACCAGTTTTGATGCAGTGTCCATGGATGTAATGGAGGTACCTGTCTGTCCAGGTTGATGGGATTTGCAGTACCTTCAACCGATTCAGCTCTGGCTTTCGCAGACCACTAAGACCCCCATGAATGACAGATCTGGATCAAACTTGGCATACAGAACCACCATGACAATCAGAAAATACTGGAGGAGTTTGGGAAGAATTCACAGTAATAGGATCCTAGAGTTGCAAGAGACCTCCAAGGGCCATCTAGTCTAACCTCTTTCTGCCATAAGGGAAACAGAATCAAGATGGTCTTCAGACTCTCAATAATAATAATAATAATAATAATAATAATAATAATAATAATAATAATAATAATAATAATATTCTCTGGTTGCAAGAGACCTCCAAGGGCCACCCACTCCAACCTCCTCCTGCCATAAGGGAAAAGCAGATGTTACTTGGAAACTACCCTGAGTCCCCTCGGGGAGATAGAGCGGTATATAAATAAAGTTTTATATTTTTAATTATGGTGTTTGGGGAGGACATTGGCAGGGTTTGGGCTACATGTTCATGGCTATTATAAACTTATTATTATTGTTTTGAAACTGTTATAAACCTTTATTGTGAATTATAATATCATCATTTTAAAAGTATTTATTCTATTTCTTTATATCCCACTGTATCTCTCTATACAGAGATTCCAAGCAGCTCACAATCAAAAACATTACAACTTAAAATATAAAATCTACAATAAGAAAATAATACAATCGTAACTGATATTATTATGGTTGAGAAATTGATCCTCTTCCTTCCTTCCTGCCTTCTTCATCCATTAAATGCAAGGCAGAAGAAAGGAAAATCTAGAATGGATTTCATTGAAGGGAAATGAAACTGATGGGCTCCATTGGGGGGAAAAAACCCGGAATGGACTCCATTGAAGGGAATACTTTGGATACTCCATTGAAGGGAATACTTTGGTCATCCGGAATTTTGGAGTTGGGTGCCATCTCTATGCAGATGACACACAACTCTACTACTCATTTCCATCTAATTCCAAGGAGGCCCCTCGAGTGCTGAACGAGTGCCTGGCCGCTGTGGCTATCTGGATGAGGAAGAACAGGCTGAAGATCAATCCTGACAAGACAGAGGTCCTCCTGGTCGATCGTAAACCGGATCGGGGTATAGGGTGGCAACCTGTGTTGGACGGGGTTACACTCCCCCTGAAGCCACAGGTCCGCAGTTTGGGAGTCCTCTTGGATTCATCAGTTACGCTTGAGGCTCAGGTGTCGGTGGTGTCCGGGAGGGCTTTTGCACAATTGAGACTCGTGCGCCAACTGCGACTGTACCTCACAAAGGCTGATCTGGCTGGGGTGGTCCATGCCTTGGTCACCTCTAGACTGGACTACTGTAATGCACTCTACGTGGGGCTGCCCTTGAAAACAGCTCGGAAATTTCAACTGGTCCAACGGGCAGCGGCCAGGATGTTAACTGGAGCTCCTTACAGAGTGAGGTCAACCCTCCTGTTCAAGGAGCTCCATTGGCTGCTGTTTATTTTCCGAGCCCAATTCAAGGTGCAGGTGCTTACCTACAAAGCCCTAAATGGTTTGGGACTAGCCTACCTGCGTGACCGCATCTCCGTTTATGGACCCACGCGTTCTCTTCGTTCATCCGGAGAGGCCCTGCTCGCGATTCCACCTGCGCCGCAGACGCGTTTGGTGGGGATGCGGGACAGGGCCTTCTCTGTGGTGGCCCCCCGACTTTGGAACACCCTCCCCAAAGACATCAGACAAGCCCCTACGTTGGCAGTCTTTAGGAAGAGCTTGAAGACCTGTTCCGTTGTGCCTTTCCAGAATAGGAAAACTCTAGCAATATGTCCCAGAAGCACTTTATCAGAGTTTTAAGATTGACTGCACACTGCACTTACCCAAAATCCGACATTCCGCCTGTCACACCCAGCACTTTTTTAATATGTACCCATCACATTTGGCCCTGCCTAGTTTTATTGTGTTATGGTGTATTGTTTTTGTTGTTTTATTATTGCTTTAATGGTTTGATTTGCTTTAAGTTGTGTATTTGTTATGCTGTTATTTTATTGAGGCCTTGGCCTATGTAAGCCGCATCAAGTCCTTCGGGAGATGCTAGTGGGGTACAAATAAAGATAATAATAATAATAAGAAGAAGAATCCATTGGGAAAAAAATTGAAACAAATTCCATTGGGGAAAAAAGTGGAATGGATTCCATTGAAACAAAACCTGGAATGGACTCTATTGAAAAAAAGTAAAATGGATTGGACTCCATTTAAAGCAGTGTTTCTCAACCTTCCTAATGCTGTGACCCCTTAGTAGAGTTCCTCATGTGGTGGTGACCCCCAAACATAACATTATTTTTGTTGCTACTTCATAACTGTAATTTTGCTACTGTTATGAATCATAATGTAAATGTCTGATATGCAGGATGTATTTTCAAATCCCAAATACCCGATATGCCCAAATTTGAATACTGGTGGGATGGGGGTGATTGATTTTGTCATTTGGGAATGTTGGAGTTGCTGGGATTTATAGTTTACCTAAAATCAAAGAGCCTTCTGAACTCCACCAATGATGGAATTTAATCAAACTTGGCACACAGAATTCCCATGACCAAGAGAAAATACTGGGAGGGTCTGGTGGACATTGTCCTTGAGTTTTTGGAGAGAACACTGTGGACTCAAACAATGGTGGATCTGGACCAAACTTGGCACAAATACTCAATATGCCCAAATGTGAACACTGGTGGAGTTTGGGGAAAATAGACCTTGACATTTGGGAGTTGTAGTTGTTGGGATTTATAGTTCACCCACAATGAAATAGCATTCTGAACCCCACCAATGATAGAATTGGACCAAATTTCTCACACAAAACCCCTATGACCAACAGAAAATACTATGTTTCCTGATGGTCTTTGGTGACCCCTCTGACACCCCCTCGCGACCCCCACAGGGGTCCCGACCCCCAGGTTGAGAAACACTGATTTAAAGGAATATTTTGAATGGACTCAATAGAAACAAAACCCGGAAAGGACTCTATTGGCCAAACCCGGATTCCATTGAAGGGAAAACCCGGGCCTGAGTCCCCCCTCGAAGGGAGAAGTGTGTGTGTGTGTGTATTGTTTATTTGTTTATTGATGGTGTTGTCTATTTATATTTCCTCCCTAGATGCACCCGCTGGGGCTGTGCAATGGGAACGAGGAGGAGGAACTGTACGACTACGGCTGGGTCGGGGTCGTCAAGCTGGAGCAGCCCCACCTCGAGCCCAAGCCCTGCCTCTCTGTCCTTGGGAAGGTCAGTCCGGGACAGCCACCTTGGGCCTCTTCCTCAGAGGGAAACCGTAGGGGACGGCAGCCATCTAGGGTCTCTTCCATAGCCTCCAGTGGGATATGAGGTGAAGGGGCGGCCCTGTTGGAGTATGAGGAAGAGGGGAAAGCCATTTTGGGTCTCTTCCATAGAGTCCAATGGAGTGTCAAGGGGTGGTGGCCATCTTGGATCTCTTACATAGACTCCAATGGAGTCTAAGGTGAGAAGGTGGCCATTTTAGTATTCTGTACTAGTATGAGGCAAAAAGGGTGGCTATTTTGGATATCCTGATGATAGATAATTAGGAAAGATGGTCATTTTGGACTTGTTGCATAGACTCCATTGGAGTGTGAAGGGATGAAGGCCATTTTGACAGGGAAATGTGACCGTTCTCTCCTATAGAGTCCATTAGAGTCTGAAAGGGCTGGTGATCATTTTGGATCGCTACAAGGGTAGAAGGCAAAGGGGGTGGCCATTTTGAATATTTTGAAGAAAAGTAATGGGGAACAGCCTCCATTTTGGATGTCTATAGAGTCTATGGGAGTGTGAAGGTATGGCAGCCGTTTAGATGGGGAATGGTGGCCATTTTGAATCTCTTCTATAGAGTCCAGTAGACTGTGATGGGATGGTGGCCATTTTGGATCTTTATAGGAGTGTGTGGGGCAAATGGAGTGGCCATTTTGGATGTCTTAAAGATAAATAATGGGAATGCCAGTCATTTTGGATTGCTTACATAGAGGGCATGGAGGCCATCTTGAGTCTTTTGCATTGACTCCATTGGAATGTGAGGCAAAAAAGGCAGCCATTTTCATCACTTCTATAGAGTCCATTGGTGTGTGAAGGGATGGCAGCCCTTTTTTAGGTCTATTCTTGTGGGAAAATTATGGGGAATGGCAGCAATTTTTGAATCACTTCTATAGAGTCCGTTGGAATCTGAAGGGATGGTGGCCATTTTAGATCTCTATAAGAATGTGAGCCGAACGGGGCAGCCATTTTGGATTTCTTTCTGAAGGAAGAGAATGGGGAAATGTGGCTCTTTTGAATTTCTTTTATAGACTCCATTGGAGTGTGAGGTGGAGGCAGCCATTTTGGTTCCGTGTCATAAGAGTCTATTGGAGTCTGAAGGGATGGTGACCATTTTGAATCTCAGAATATGAGGCAAAGGGGGTGGACATTTCCCATATCCTGAGGATAAATAATAGAGAAAGGTTGCCATTTTGGATCTCTTCCATAGAGTCCAATGGTGTCTGAAGGGATTATGGCCAACTTGGATCTCCTCCATAGAGTCTAATTGAGGCAAAAGGGGCAGTCACGTTGAATCTCTTTTCAGGGAAAAAGATGTGGAATGGCAGCCATCTTGGATCTTTTCTATAAAGTCCATTGGAGTGTGAAGGGCATTTTGGATCTCCATAAGAGTGTGAGGCAAAGGAGGCAGCCATTTTGGATCTCTATAGAAGAGTCCATTAGAGTGTGAAGGGACAGCGGCCATTTTGAATCTCTTTATAAGCGTGAGGCCCAGGGGGCCGCCATTTTGAAACTCTTCTATAGACTCCATTGGAGTGTGGAAAATGGAGGCGGCCATTTTGGATCGCTGTCCAAGATGTCTGCCTTTAATGGATTCCTGTTGTTTTATTTCCTCCCTTACTGCAGGCCAAGCGTGCAGTGCAGCGGGGGGCCACGGCAGTCATCTTCGACGTCTCTGAGAACCCAGAAGCCATTGACCAGGTGAGGCAGGAATTGTATCTCTAGTCAGATGGCCATCTTTGTTGTTGTCCTTTTTCCATGGCAGCCATATTTGTCATTGTTGTCCTTCTGTTTCCAGCTGAATGACGGGCTGGAGGACCCACTGAAGCGACCGGTGGTGTACGTCAAGGGGGCTGACGCCGCACGGCTCATGAACATTGTTAATAAGCAGAAGGTGGCTCGGGCCCGCATCCAGCACCGAAGCCCCCCGGTAAGACAGAAAGGATATAGAGATATAGAGAGAGATATTGATAGATATGGATATAGATGTATAGATGCATAGGTGACGGGTCTTCCTCCTCATCTCCTTCATCAGCCGACAGAATACTTCGACATGGGCCTCTTCCTGGCCTTCTTCCTGGTCGTCTCCCTCGTCTGCCTTGTCCTCCTCGTCAAGATCAAGCTCAAACAGAGGCGGAGCCAGGTATAATGAGGGGGTGGGGCCTCAGGTGGTCACAGCGACCGATATGGGAGGGATCCAAAATGGCAACCTTTCTCCATTGTTTCTCCCCCAGGAAAGGGATCCAAAATGGCTGACGTTACACATTAATCTCCCTCTAAACAAAGATCCAAAATGGCTGCTTTTACCCATTAATTTACTTTGAAACAAAAAATTCAAAGTGGCTGCCATTCTCTATAGTTTTTCCTCAGCGAAGGGATTCAAAATGGCTGTCTTTCCGTTAATTTCCCTCAAAATGATTCAAAATGGGCATTGTTTCCCCTTTCTCCAGTATTATTATTATTACTATTATTTTTTCATGGTTTCTCCATTAATTGCCCTCAAAAAGGGGATACAAAATGGCTGCTGTTACCCACTAATTTCCCCGCAAAACAAAGATTCAAAAAGGTCACCTTTCTCCATTGTTTTCCCCATAGAAAAGGGATCCAAAATGGCTGCCTTTCCCCAATAAAAAAGAGAGTGAGGCCTACACCTGGAGAGAAGCCTTTCTCCATTATTTTCCCTCAGATAAGGAATCCAAAATGCCTGTGTCTCTCTCACACATAGAACTCCATGAACCGCCTTGCAGTGCAGGCCTTGGAGAAGATGGAGACCCACAAGTTCAAGGCCAAGGGGAAGGCAGCCGCATCCACCAACAATGAAGGCTCCAGCGGCCATATTGGAAGTGGAGGAGGAGAGGCCCTCAGCAGCAGCGCCACTTCTGACTGTGCCATCTGCCTGGAGAAGTACCTGGATGGAGAGGTGAGACCAATCCAGAATGGCTGCCCTCTCAATGTACCCCTTTCCCAATATCCAGTATGGCCTCCCTCTCAATGTATCCCTCCTCCTACCAATATTCAAGAAGGTTGACTTTTTAATGTTATCTTTTTCCAATATTCAAGATGGCTGACTTATTAATATATTCGTCCTTCTCCCAATATACAAATTTGCCAACTTCCTTACGAATCCCTCTCCCAATATCAGAGATGGCTGCCCTCTCAATGTATCTCTTTTCCAATATCTAAGATGGCCACCCATTCCTAATATCCAGGATGGCCAACTTCTTAACGAATCCCTCTCCCAGTATCCAAGATGGCCAACTTCTTAATGTATCTCTCCATCTCCCAGTATCCAAGATGGCTGCCACCCTATCAGTGTATTCTTCCTTCTCCCAATATCCAAGATGGCTAACTTATTAATGTATCTCTCCATCTTCCAATATGCAAGATGGCCGTCCTCTCAATGTAACCTTCATTTCATCAATATTCAAGATGGTCAGCATATTAATGTATCTTCCCAATATCCAAGATGGCTTCCCTCTCAATGTATTCTTCCTTCTATCAATATTCAAGATGGTCGCCATCCCAATATTTCTTCTCCTAGTATCCATGATGGCTACTTCTCAATGTATCCCTCTCTCAATATCCAAGATGACCACCACTGTGTTTGTCTTTCTCCCAATATCCAAGATTGCCACCTTATTAATTAATCCCTCTCAGTATCTAAGATGTCCATCCTCAATGTAGCCTTCATTCTACCAATATCCAAGATGACTGACTAATGAATATCTTAATATCCAAGATGGCAGACTTCTTAATGTATTTTTCCCCAATATTCAAGATGGCCAACTTGTTAATGAATATCCATTTCCCAATATCCAAGATGGCCACCCTCTCAATGTGTCCCTCCCTCTCCTAATATCCAAGATAGCCGACATTAATCTATCCCTTCCTCTCCCAATATCCAATATGGCTGACTTATTAAAGTATCTCTCTATCAGTATCCAAGATGGTTGCCCTCAATGTATCTCCCCCATTATCCAAGATGGCCACCTTCTCAGTGTGTTCCTCCCTTTCCTAATATCGAAGATGGTCAACTTCTAAACGAATCCCTCTCTCAATATCCAAGATGGCCTCTTCCTCCCTCCCTCCTGCCAGTCCCCAAGATGGCTTCCTCCTTAAATGCAGTCTCACTTTTCTTCTCTCTTCTTAGGAGCTGCGCGTGATCCCGTGTGCGCACCGCTTCCATCGGAAGTGCGTGGACCCCTGGCTCCTGCAGCACCACACCTGCCCACACTGCCGCCACAACATCATCGGTGAGATATATATATCTCCTTTCCTCCTTTCTATCCTTCCTTCCCTTCCTTCTTTCCTTCTTTTTTTCACTTTTCTTCCTTCCCTTCTTCCTCCCTTCTATTTTTATGCTCTTCACTTCCATCCTTTCTCACTTTTCTTCCTTTTTTCTCTGCCTTCCTTCCCTCCTACTTCCTTCCTTTCCTCTATTCCTCCCTCCCTCGCTCATCTTGTCTTTGTTCCCTTCCTTTCATTCTATTTCTTCTTCCTTTCCCTTAGGTGCCTCTACTTTCCTTCCATACTTCCCTCCCCTTCCTCTGTGTCCCCCCTTCTTTTCCTCCCTCCCTCACTCCCTAGCTTCCTTTCTCCACCTTCCTACCCTCTGCTTCTCCTCCTTCCCTCCTTTCCTGCCTTCTTTTCTTTATTTCCTTCCCTCCCTCTCCTTTCCTTCTATATTCCTTCTCCTTTCCTTCTATACTTCCTTTCCTTCTCCCTCGCTTTGCTTTGCTTTGCTTTCCTTCTCCCTCGCTTTCCTTTGCTCTCATTTCCTTCCATACTTCTCTTTGCTTTTTCCTCCCTCCCACCCTCCTTTCATTGCCTTCTATTCCTCCCTCCCTCCTATACTCTGTGCTTCCTCTCCCTCCCTCTCGCTTCCCTCTCTTCCTTCTATTCCTCCCTTTTACCACCTTCCCCCCTCCCTTCCTCCCTTTCTTCTGTCACTTTCTTACTTCTCCTTCCATACATCCTTCCCTCCCCATATCTATTCCTCCATTCCTTTTTCCCATCCTTCTTCCCCTTTCCTTCTCTCTCCTTCTTTTCCTTCTTCTATTCCTCATTCCCTCCCTTGCTCATCTTCCTCCCCCTTCTTCCACTTCCTTCTTTTCTTCCCTCCTTCCCTCGCTCCACCTTCCTTCCTTCCTTTCTTCTATTTCTCCTTTTCTCTCCCCCATCCTTCCTTCCATCATTTTCTTCCCTTTGTTTGCCACTCCCTTCTTCCCTTTTTCCTTCCTTCTTGCCTTCATTCCCTTTGCATTCTTCCTTCTCTCTCTCCCTAAATCCCTTTCCTCGCTTCCTTTCTTTTCCTTCCACACTTCCTATTCTTCCTTCTCCCTCCCTTCTATCCTTCCCTTTGCTTCTTCTGTTTCTTCTATTTCTCCTTCCCTCTCCTTCCATACTTCCCTTTCCTTCCTTCTCTCCCTCTGTTCCTTCCTTTTTTCCTTCTGTTCCTTCCTTCTGTTCCTTCTATTCCTCCTTCCTCTCTCTCCATACTTCCCTTCCCTTCCTTCTTCTCTTCCTCCCTTCTTTCTCCTCAGCTGACTCTGCTTCCACTTCCTACTTTGCAGAGCCGAAGAAGGGCTCGGCGGGCGCTCCCTGTGAGGATCCTTCTCTCCTCCACCATGCTCCTCCTCCTGCCCATCATCATCATCACCCACTTCCTCTCCCTCCACTTCCTGTCCGTGGACAACAACGGCATCATCACCATCCAGCTCCTCCCGCCACTGCTCCTTCCGGGATGCTGCTGCACTTGCCCCACTTTCCAATGCAGACGACCATGGACCCCCAAGGGGGGGCCCCCGTCACCTTCCTTCATTTCGCACAACAACAACAACAACAACAGTATCCCCTCCCCTTCAGGAGGCAGGACAATATGGCCGCCTTCCCTTCCTCCTCGGCCTCGCCCACTTCCTGCTTCTCCCAGTACGAGGCCCTTTTCCAGCACTACTACTTCCAGCAGCAGCCTTATTTCGCCTTCGTGCCCCGCTTCGACCCTACTTCTTGTTTCCGAGGCTACTTCCCGGAAGCATCAGTGGGACCTGGAAGTGATACATCAGAAGCCAGCAACCGGGGTGTCTTCGGGAGCAGCTCCACCTTCCGCAGCTCCCTCAGCAGCGATTACGACCCTTTCGTCTACCGCAGCCAGGAAGCCCCACCCCCTACTTCCTCTTCCGGAGACCATCTTTCCCATTGCAGCCTGGAAATGAACTACAGCAGCTCCTCCTCTTCCTCTTTGGAGTGGACACCGCTTCCTCCTCCGTCGTGTGGATGTCCCACAACAATGGCCGCCCTCTACGGCTTCTATGAGGAAGAGGAAGTAGGAAGCACTTCCTCTTCTTCTCACGTACACCGGCCCTTTAAGAGGGACTGTGGCCCCCGAGGAAGGGGGGCAGGAAAGGGCCCCTGGGCCCCGAGAGACTACTTCCTTCAGCACCACCAGCGGAAGAGGAGGAGGAAGCAGGAAGAGGAAGTGGAGGAGGAAGAAGCAGAAGTCAATGGCAGGAGGAACTTCCCAGAAGCCGGAAGAGGAGGAGGAAGCAGCAGCAAAGGGGCAGGTGAGAGAGATCAATGGAAGGAAGGAGGACATAGAGGGAAGGATAGAGAGGAAAGACTGAAAGGATAGGGAGGAAATAAGGGAAGGATGGAGGAAATAAAGAAGGCAAAAAAGGAAATGGAAGAGAAGGAAGACAGGAGGAGGGAAGAAATAGGGGGAAGGATATAGAAGAAAGATAGGAAGGAAGGGAGTAAAGAGCATGCTGAATCCCACAAACGACAGAATTGGGGCAAATTTCCCACACAGAACCCCCCATGACCAATAGATAATACTTAAGGCCATCCAGTCCAACTCTCTTCACCAGAAAATGTAATCAGAGCCCTCCTGACAAAGAACCACCCAGTCATAAATATAGATAGAGATTTGAAAGGGACCCTTAAAGAAGGACAATGATATCTTGCATGTTCCAGAGTAGGCAAACCAGACACTCTCCACATCAACACTAACAAAGAAAAAGCAAGAAATACTGTTTACCCACAAGCATAAAGAAATTACATAGATTAGAAACCAACATTTCTCATTACTTTATTTTCCAGATCAACAGACTGGGCCACAGCAACGCGTGGCAGGGGATAGCTAGTGCATTATATAGCACTATATATATAATAGTAATATATAAAGTATTGTAATTATATATATATATATATATATATACACACACACACACACACACACACACACACACACACACACTAGCTGTGCCCTGCCACACGTTGCTGTGGCCCAGTCTGTTGATCTGGAAAATAAGTAATGAGAACACTCCACATCAACACTGACAAAGAACCAACAAGAAATACTGTTTACCCACAAGCATAAAGAAATTACATAGATTAGAAACCAACATTTCTCATTACTTTATTTTCCAGATCAACAGACTGGGCCACAGCAACGCGTGGCAGGGGATAGCTAGTGCATTATATAGCACTATATATATAATAGTAATATATAAAGTATTGTAATTATATATATATATATATATATATACACACACACACACACACACACACACACACACACACACATGCATACACACACACACACACACACACTAGCTGTGCCCTGCCACACGTTGCTGTGGCCCAGTCTGTTGATCTGGAAAATAAGTAATGAGAACACTCCACATCAACACTGACAAAGAACCAACAAGAAATACTGTTTACCCAGAAGCATAAAGAAATTACATATATTAGAAGCCAACACTTTCTCATTATTTTCCAGATCACCAGACTGGGCCACAGCAACGCGTGGCAGGGGACCGCTAGTATATTATATAAATGATATGTAATTCTAATATAATATATAAAATTAATATATAAATATATAAATAATATAATAAAATACTAATGCCTGTCTTCCTCTTACTGTCTACATAATAATATAATAACAATATTTATAATATAATTACATAAATACTCTCTTTTTCTACACACACTATGGAAGAGCTAAGTGCTAAAATCAAGCTCACAACACTAAAATGTTGGAGACAAGTGATTTATTCCTTCTTTCCACAATCCTAAAAAGACAGTTCTAAAGTTTTCCCACTCGAACCTGTATACATCCGCCCCAACTCCCATCCACCCTCTAGTTGCTAAACACTGTGCCCACAGTCTGTCAACTGCATTCAATTTCCCTCACAAATCAGATGCCTTATCTACACTACCTTGTGTAACTGTACCCAGCCTCCCTCCTCCACCTCCATTATGGCAGGGAACTGAAGCAGCCAGTCCTAGGCTTATTTTATTTATTGTGTCATCAGCAAACATTTCTAACAGAACAAAACAAACAAACAGATTAAAAAAACCCACAAATTTTGCAAACTTGGTAGTTGATTAAATGTCCTTTGACCAGTATCTGGCCACTTGGAGTGACTGGTGTTGCCGCAAGAAGGTCCTCCATTGTGCATGTGGCAGGGCTCAGGTTGCATTGCAGCAGCTGGTCTGTGGTTTGCTCTTCTCCACACTTACATGTCATGGATTCCACTTTGTAGCCCCATTTCTGAAGGTTGGCTCTGCATCTCGTGGTGCCAGTGCGCAGTCTGTTCAGCGCCTTCCAAGTCGCCCAGTCTTCTGTGTGCCCAGGGGGGAGGCTCTTATTTGGTATCAGCCATTGGTTGAGGTTCTGGGTTTGAGTCTGCCACTTTTGAACTCTAGCTTGCTGAGGTGTTCCAGTGAGTGTCTCTGTAGATCTAAGAAAACTATTTCTTGATTTAAGTCGTTGACGTGCTGACTGATACCCAAACAGGGGATGGGCTGGAGATGTCACTGCCTTAGTCCTTTCACTATTGACTGCTACTTCCCGGCGGATGTCAGGTGGTGTAATACTGTGGCTTAACAGTGTAATTTCTCCAGTGGTGTAGGGCGCAGACACCCTGTGATAATGCGGCATGTCTCATTAAGAGCCACATCCACTGTTTTAGTGTGGTGAGATGTGTTCCACACTGGGCATGCATACTCAGCAGCAGAGTAGCATAGCGCAAGGGCAGATGTCTTCACTGTGTCTGGTTGTGATCCCCAGGTTGTGCCAGTCATCTTTCGTATGATATTGTTTCTAGCACCCACTTTTTGCTTGATGTTCAGGCAGTGCTTCTTGTAGGTAGCACGGTCCAGAGTGACTCCCAGGTATTTGGGTGCGCTGCAATGCTCCAGTGGGATTCCTTCCCAGGTGATCTTCAGAGCTCGGGATGCTTGTCTGTTCTTAAGGTGGAAAGCACATGTCTGTGTTTTAGTTGGATTAGGGATCAGCTGGTTTTCCCTGTAATATGCAGTAAGAGCACCTAGAGCTTCGGAGAGCTTCTGTTCTACCATCTCAGAGCTCCCTGCTTGAGCGGTGATGGCACGATCATCAGCATAGATGAAACTCTCTGTCCCTTCTGGCAGTGGCTGGTCATTTGTGTAGATGTTGAACATGGATGGAGCGAGCACGCTCCCCTGAGGCAGGCCGTTCTTCTGTTTCCGCCATCTGCTTCTCTGGCCCTGGAACCCAACAAAAAAGCTCCTGTTTTGTAGCAGGTTTCCTATGAGGCGGGTGAGGTGGTAGTCCTTTGTGATATTATACATTTTTCTCAGGAGGAGCCGGTGGTTCACAGTATCATAGGCTGCTGACAGGTCTATGAAGACAGCTCCTGTGATCTGCTGCCTTTCAAAGCCATCTTCTATGTGCTGAGTCAGGTACAGCACTTGCGATGTGCAGCTTTTGCCTTTCCTAAAGCCAGTCCTAGGCTGATATGGTGAAACTGACATCACTCCCCTGGAGTTTGGCCCCCTGGAGAAATAAGGAATTGGAAGCAAAAGAGCAGAAACGTTAAGGTCCCGGCTTAAGTTTCTTTAAGCGAGCCGGGGGGGGGGGGGGCATATTCAGCAGCCACCCATTCAGGATGTAAAGTCTGACTTCCATTAGTATAAATGTCCCCAAGAACGTTTAGAGCAAGGGGTCCTCAAACTTTTTAAACAGAGGGCCAGGTCACAGTCCCTCAAACTGTTGGTGGGCCAGATTATAGTTTGAAAAAACATGAATGAATTCCTATGCACACTGCACATAGCTTATTTGTAGTGCAAAAACACTTTAAAACAATACAATTATTAAAATGAAGAACAATTTTAACAAATATAAACTTACTAGCGGTCCCCTGCCACGCGTTGTTGTGGCCCAGTCTGGTGATCTGGAAAATAATGAGAAAGTGTTGGTTTCTAATATATGTAATGTCTTTCTGCTTGTGGGTAAACAGTATTTCTTGCTGTTTCTTTGCCAGTGTTGATGTGGAGATTGTCTGGTTTAATGTATTGTCGAAGGCTTTCATGGCTGGAATCACTGGGTTATTGTAGGTTTTTTCGGGCTATATGGCCATGGTCTAGAGGCATTCTAGACCATGGCCATATAGCCCGAAAAAACCTACAACAACCCATTGTCTGGTTTGCCTACTCTGGAACATGCAACATATCATTGTCCTTCTTTAGGGGTCCCTTTCAAATCTTTGATACTGCATCTGTCATATACATATGTGTGTGTGTGTGAATGGCTGGATGGCCCTTTGTCAGGAGGACTTTGATTATGTTTTCTTGCCCTGGTGAAAGGAGTTGGACTGGATGGCCTTAAGGCAGCATTTCTCAACTTGGGAAGTCAACCCCCCTGGGGGGGGGGGGGTCACCAGGGGGTATCACAATGGTCACCCAAGACCACCAGAAAACATAGTATTTTCTGTTGGTCATGGGGATTCTGTTTGGGATGTTTGACCCAATTCCATCGTTGGTGGGATTTGGAATGTTCTTTTATTATTATTTTTTAATATATTAATATATTTTTATTGTTTTCTTCATGCTTACATAAAAGGAATAGGAACAGGGGATTGGTAGGGTAAAAAGGGAAGTGAGGGGGGTGAGGGTAACTTGGGAAGGGGGGGGGGGAATTGCTGGGATGGGGATGGGGTCAGTAGGATACTTCCAGGACTACCCAGGGTTTCTCGATTAGTTATATATTTCATGTATGTTTGTAGATGTGTATACATACACACATACATATATTTATCTATCTGTGTATATACATACGCAAACACATATTTATGTCCTTGCTTGGTTCAGTTGTCAACTTCTTGTTTACACATTCCTTGGATTTCAGTTACAGGTCCATAATATACATCTCTTTGTTTTCTTCTTTAATGAATTCCAGAACTATTTTCCAGTCAGTTCTTTGGGGTTTTGTATAGTTCTGTGAGATTCTTTGTGTCAATATGTCCATATTTATTATGTCAATTATTTTTGCTATCCATTGCTCCATTGTGGGGATTTCTTTGGTTTTCCATACTCTTGCTAGAGTCATCCTTGCGGCTGATATTAGGTAGAAGACTATCTTATCCTCATTCTTTTCTATGGAACGCTCTTTTATTGTAGGTGAACTATACATCCTAGTAACTACAACTCTTAAATGTCAAGGTCTATCCCCCCCCCCCCCAACTCCTCCTTTGTTCACATTTGGGTATATTGAGTATTCCTGTCAAGTTTGGTCCTGATCCATCATTGTGTGAGTCCACAGTGTTCTCTGGATGGAGGTGAACTACAATTCCAAAACTCAAGGTCAATGCCCACCAAACCCTTTCAGTATTTTCTGTTGGTCAGGGGAGTCCTGTGTGCCAAGTTTGGTTCAATTCCATTTTTGGTGGAGTTCAGAATGTTCCTTAATTATAGGTGAACTATAAATCCCAAGAATTACAACTCCCAAATGACAAAATCATAATTTCTTGAGTGATTGTCACTCCTTGTGTTGTGAGACATTTTGTTACCAAATTTGGTTTGACCTTGTTTTTAAGGTACTCACAGAGCATTTTTATATATATAGATTACTATTTTTATTTATTTATTTCGGTTGCTTCTACCCCGCCCTTCTCACCCCGGGGAGACTCAGGGCAGCTTACACAAGCAAGGCACAATTCGATGCCCATATTACATACAGCATGGAACAGCAACATCAGTTAACGACAGCAATTTTGGCAATAAACAGCAATTAACAGAACAGAATTATTATCGGCAGAACAACCATAAAACCAGTAAAAACAGGTAAAAACAATACAAACCTCAATTGCTGGTCAGCGTTTCACAGTCTCATAGTCTAAATTCCAATTTCCATACCTTGTTGGTCCTATCCATCTGGTTTCCATATCTAATTGTCAGGATGCCCAAAGGCCTGGTCCCACAACCACGTCTTTACCTTCCTCCTGAAGGCAAGGAGGGATGTTGATGCTCTGATTTCTCCCGGGAGTGAGTTCTACAGGTGGGGGGCCACCACCGAGAAGGCCCTGCTCCTCGTCCCCACCAGCCTCACTTGTGATAGCGGTGGGGTCGAGAGCAGGGCCTCCCCAGATGATCTCAAATTCCGGGATGAGACGTAGAGGGAGATACGTTCAGACAGATACGCTGGACCAGAACCGTAAAGGGTTTTGTAGGTCAAAACCAGCACTTTGAATTGTGCTCGGAACTGAATCGGCAGCCAGTGGAGCTGACACAGCAGGGGGGGTGGTGTGTTCCCTGTATGTCGCTCCGGTAAGCAATCTGGCTGCCACTCACTGAACCAGTTGAAGTTTCCGAACAGTCTTCAAGGGCAACCCCACATAGAGTGCGTTGCAGTAGTCTATACGGGATGTAACAAGAGCGTGGACCACTGTGGCCAGATCAGACTTCCCGAGGTACAGGCGCAACTGGTGCACAAGTTTTAATTTACTAGCTGTCCCCTGCCACGCGTTGCTATGGCCCAGTCTGTTGATCTGGAAAATAATGAGGAAGTGTTGGTTTCTAATATATGTAATGTCTTTATGCTTGTGGGTAAACAGTATTTCTTGCTGTTTCTTTGTCAGTGTTGATGTGGAGAGTGTCTGGTTTGCCTACTATGGAACATGCAAGATATCATTGTCCTTTAAGGGGCCCTTTCAAATCTATGATACTATATGATACCATATCTCTCTGTGTGAGAGAATCATGTCTATCTATCTATATCTATGGCTGGATGGCTCTTTGTCAGGAGGACTTTGATTACATTTTCTTGCCCTGATGAAGGGAGTTGGATTGGATGGCCTTAAGTATTTTCTGTTGGTTGTGGGTGTTCTGTGTGGGAAGTTTGCCCCAATTCTGTCGTTCGTGGGGTTCAGAATGCTCTTTGATTGTAGGTGAACTGTGAATCCCAGTGACTACAACTCCCAAATGTCAAGGACTATTTCCCCCAAACTCCATCTGTGTTCATATTTGGGCGTATTGAGTGCTTGTGCCAAGTTTTGTCTAGATCCATCATTGTTTCAGTCCACAGTTCTCTTTGGATGTAGGTGAACTACAACTCCCAAACTCAAGGTCAATGTCCAACCCTTCCAGTATTTTCTCTTGGGCATGGGAGTTCTGTGTGTCAAGTTTGGTTCAATTCCTTCGTTGGTGGAGTTCAGAATGCTCTTTGATTGTAGGTGAACTATAAATCCCAGCAACGACAATTCCCAAATGACAAAATCAATGTTTTTGAGTGGAGGACATAAATTGGACTGTTCGGTGTCTTGTGTCCAAATTTGGTGTCAATTCCCCCAGTGGTTTTTGAGTTCTGATGGTATCACAAACGAGCATTACATTTTTATTTATATAGATTATGTCTTAGTAATATGATACTACATTTCTATTATAATTATCAATATATTATACTATATTATAACACTTTTCATATATATTATATTAATATTGTATTATATGTTAGTATATGAGACTGCATGTCTTTTATAGTTATTAATATAGGTTATACTATAATGCATTCTTATTATGATCTGTCTTCGCAGGTCTCTCCTCTCAGTCGGGAGAGTAGGCCTCGATGGGGAGCTGCTTCCTGTTGCGGTGGTGATGGATGACCCCAGAGTTTGACCCTTCCGCCAAAATGGCTGACGCCCTCGATAACATTTTCAGCACCTTGACACGGAGTCCAAAGGGGCGGGGCCTGAATATTTAAAAGGGGGCGGGGCTTCAGTACAAGAAGAGAGCGAGATAAGTGCCTTGTCGCTGGGCCTCTTAAAGAGGGCGGGACTACACTTCCCAGAAGCCTCTGCTGCAGAACCCAATGAGGAGGCATGCTGGGAAACAGTCTTTTAACAGCAACTACTCCTAGCCAGGTTTTGAGGCCTAGTCTGTTTTTTCCCCCTTCTCCTCAAAAGAAAGATGTTTCCTATGGAAACAAAACAAACCCCCCCAAAATTAAAAATAAATATTATAAATAAAAATAACAAAAAGGCCTTTTATCGATGAGATTGCAAGGCACTATTTTTAATTGAAAATAGTTTTTTTAATTCTTATTAGCACTTAATTACATTATTATTATTATTATTATTATTATTAAATGTTTCTTATGGCTAGGAGACAACAACCAACCCACCCCTTTTGTTGTTGTTATTTTTAAAATAATGTGTACATTTATTTGTATATTATTATTATTATTAATAATGGGGCACATTTCATTTATGATGATAATGGGGATTTTAAAAAAAGAAAAAGAAAGATGTTCTGGGAAAATATATATATTTATTTACTAATATATTTATCTTTTTAAGCAATTTTTCCTCTTTTTTGAGTGTGTTTTGTTTTTAATGTCTGGAATAAAATAAATAATAATAATAAAATAATAATATTTGAAAGAATTATCAAGATAGTTTTTAATTTTGATACTTGAAAAATTATGCGTTTTTTTAATTTTAAGTTTTATCAGGTTTTATTTTTACTTAAGTATTTTTATTTTATTTGTATTAGGTTTTATTTTATTGATTTTTTTTTAATTTACATTTTAGTTTTATTAGGATTTATTTTTATATTTATTAGTTTCATTTTAAAATTTAAATTTATTTTTATTGGGTTGTATTTTAATTTTTTATTTTATTTATAATTTTTGTTTGTTTTTTAATTTATTTTTTAAAAATTTTATTAGGTTTTATTATAATTGTATTATTTATCATTTTTATTACCACTAGGTTTTTAATTTTTTATGTTATTAGGTTTGATTGTAATTTTATTATTTATTATTTTTATTACTACTTGGCTTTTACATTTTTAATTTTATTAGGTTTTATTGTATTTTTATTTTTTATTACATTTTATTTATATTTTATTTATTTATTTATTTCACATATTTGTATCCCGTGGGGGACTCAGGCTGGCTTCACAACAGGCAACCGTTCAATGCCGTCACACACATTTATAAATAACAATTACAGTTATAACAATGAGTTAAAACATCAGTTATTAACAGATTCATTTATTTTTTTTATTTTTTTAAATATTTTTTATTATTTTGACATTATGGGGAAAACAACTACAACAAACAGAAAAGGCAAAAAAATCCACTTTATGTGTACATGGAAAGTGGGAGAACATTGGGTTTTCGGAAAAATGGGGAAAAAATGAAAGAGTGAATCTAATGGAAGAAAAAGAAAAAAAACAGAAAAAACACATACACAGTGATTTATGTCCATTGACTTCCATCCTGTGCTTTTTCTTTGAGATCCATCGCATACATATATTTAGATTTCTTAGTCCAAATTTGCTCCCATTCTTTTTTATTTATTTTTATTAGGTTTTAATTAGATTTTATTTAAATTTTAAAGTTTATTTTATTAGGTTTTTTAAATTAGGTTTTGTTTAATTTTTATTTTATTTATTATTTTCATTACGTTTTTATTGGACTCCAGAGCCAGGAACACCTCTGACCTTAAAAACATCAATGGTCTGCACTACTCTTGGGTCCTTTAAGTCTCTGTATTTCAAACCCAGCAGCTCAGCATATTCTTGGTCAATTAAATTGTTGGTAGCACCTGAGTCCATCATGGCATGCACCATGATTGACCCCTTTTTAGAAGATCACAAGGTGACCAACAACAGGAACAAAACTCCAGTCTGAGGCTCGGTGGAGTGGGTAGCGACCGAACCGGTGAGCCTCTAGGCACGGTTGAACCCTTCTCCCACCAGCTTCTGAACATGTACCTCAGATGGTAGAACAGGAGCTTTCCGAAGCTCTAGATGCTCTTATTACAGGGAAAACCAGCTGATCCCTAATCCATCTAAAACACAGACATGTGCCTTTCACCTTAAGAACAGACAAGATTCCCGAGCTCTGAGGATTACCTGGGAAGGAATCCCACTGGAGCATTGCAGCGCACCCAAATACCTGGGAGTCACTCTGGACCGTGCTCTTACCTACAAGAAGCACTGCCTGAACATCAAGCAAAAAGTGGGTGCTAGAAACAATATCATACGAAAGCTGACTGGCACAACCTGGGGATCACAACCAGATACAGTGAAGACATCTGCCCTTGCTATGCTACTCTGCTGCTGAGTATGCATACCCAGTGTGGAACACATCTCACCATGCTAAAACAGTGGATGTGGCTCTTAATGAGACATGCCGCATTATCACGGGGTGTCTGCGCCCTACACCACTGGAGAAATTACACTGCTTAGCCGGTATTGCATCACCTGACACATCTCCAGCTCATCCCCTCTTTGGGTATCAGCCAGCACGTCAACGACTTAAATCTAGAAATAGTTTTTTAAGATCTACAGAGACACTAGCTGGAACACCCCAGCAAGCGGGAGTCCAAAAGTGGCAGGCTCAAACCCAGAACCTCAACCAATGGCTGATACCAAATGAGAAGACTCCCCCCTGGGCACACAGAGGACTGGGCGACTTGGAAGGCGCTGAACAGACTGCGCTCTGGCACCACGAGATGCAGAGCCAACCTTCAGAAATGGGGCTACAAAGTGGAATCCTCGACATGCGAGTGTGGAGAGGAGCAAACCACTGACCACCTGCTGCAATGCAACCTGAGCCCTGCCACATGCACGATGGAGGACCTTCTTGCAGCAACACCAGAAGCACTCCAAGTGGCCAGATACTGGTCAAAGGACATTTAATCAACTACCAAACTCACAAATTTTGTATTTTGTTTGTTTGCTTGCTTTGTTCTGTTAGAAATGTCATATAATTGACTGGTTGCCTTGACACGACAAATAAATCCTCGTTGCTACGAGCAACGAGTGGTGCAGGCCGCCACAGAGCACGGTCGGCCGTGTTTGTCAAAGCCATAGCCGAAGTACCTGTGTGCCCCGTTTTCCAGCGGCCCCACAGATGACGAGTAGCGATCATCTCATCCAGGCGCAAGCACAGCGCAATCAGTCTGTCCAGGGAAATCGGGGGTTCCTTTTTATATATATAATATTTTTTATTATTTTATCATGGTTTAATATATTTGTTATACATTGTTTGTTTTACAGTAGATACATATTATTCAATACAACCTACCATACTTTTGGCATCTAGTGTTATTTTTCTGCTTATACATATCATCTATTTCTCACCGCTGTGCTCCCCTCCCAAGCCACACCTTTTACTTGTCATCTGTCCAAAATTTCAATTCTTCTTGTGGAGGTAACTTTCCTTCTTTATTTTTAAATCCTTTTTCAATAAATTTTCTCCATACATCATCAAAATCACTTTGTTTCCATATACCTCTTTTTACTTTTAATATACATGTCGGCTTATCATTTATTGCCAGTTTCCATACTTCCTTGTACCACTCCTCTATTTGTATATTTATTTCTTTTTTTCCAGTTCCTTGCTATAAGCAGTCTTGCTATTGTTAATAAATTTGTTATCGCTTCTTGCAGTTTCTCAAATCGCTCCTGACATGACAAAAAAAATTGTTTGTGAGATTAACATAATTCAAAACACTACAAATAGACACCAAATTTAGACACAATACATCTATCAGGGCAACGAGTGACCATCACTCACAAATCACTGAAAAACACAGCGGAAGGGACCTAAAAAGCCAAAAAAGCAAAAAGATGCTGCATGAGGGGAAAAACTGAGTCCTCGTGGCAGGGACGATGACCACGACAAGGCTGTGCTCCTCCTCCTCCTCCTCTTTCCTGGGTCCAGGGGCCAAAGGTGTGCAGGGTATGATAGATCCGACACCTGGCTCCTTCTCCTTCCTCCTAGAATCATAGAGTTGGAAGAGACCTCATGGGCCATCCAGTCCAACCCCATTCTGCCAAGAAGCAGGAAAACCGCAAAACACCCCCGACAGATGGCCATCCAGCCTCTGTTTAAAAGCCTCCAAAGAAGGAGGCAACTGGCTCTGAGCCTGGGGTCCATCTGCTGGTGTTGGTGGAACTCACTACCTGGTGGTGGAACTCACTACTTTGGAACTCACTACCTGGAGAGATCAGGAAAGCCCCTACACTAGAAACGATTAAAAAGAACCTTAAAACCTGGCTCTTCTGCTGTGCCTTTGGCGAGCAGGTGCACAACATGACACTATTGCTCCCCTCAACGTTTCTGTCACTGAAGTACACCCCCCCCCCCCCAAATGGGAAGTTTAGTTCACACTCCGGGGCAGAGAGTTCCACTACTGAGCAGCTCTCACAGTCGGGAAGTTCTTCCTCATGTTCAGATGAATCTCCTTTCTTGTAGTTTGAAGCCATTGTTTCATTACGTCCTAGTCTCCAGGGAAGCAGAAGACAAGCGTGCTCCCTCCTCCCTATGACTTTCCCTCAAATATTTATACATATTTATTCCTATTCCTGCTACTGATGCTGCTGCTCTTGCCTATTCTGCAGCCACCATCCTGCCCAAGACTGCCTTCTTTCCCTTTCCCTGCTGCTGCCTCCTTGCATCGCTTCTCACACTTCTCGCTGCGTCTGCAGCGAGTCTGGTCTCGCCCGAGAATGAGGAGGCAGCCAAAAATGCAGCAGTGGAAGAGGAAGAGGAGGCAGAAGCACCACCACCACCAGCAGATGCACCCCAGGCTCAGAGCCCGTTGCCAGGCAGCCGTTTCCATAGCAACTTGTCCTGCTGGCTGGTGGGGATGATGGAGCTGAGCAAAGTGGAAGGGAGGCGAGTCGGGCAGGTAGCGTAGGATTTGTATATTCCCACAATTTTTCCGCAAAACAAAACACACAATAGCATACCCATACTTTCTCCTGGAATACAGCTCTCAGCATCCCCTAGACCGGGCCCTTTAGGGGAGGAGGATGCTCCAAATGCACTGCTTCCAAGATGCAAGCTTTCTTCTCCTTGGATTTCCTTGAGAGCATCCCAATCTGTGCATATTTCCAATTTCCTATTTCTGGACTGCAACTCCCAGCAATCCTTCAGGTAGATTAGATAGATAGATAGATAGATAGATAGATAGATAGATAGATAGATAGATAGATAGATAGAGGTAGGTAGGTAGGTAGGTAGGTAGGTAGGTAGGTCGGTAGGTAGATGTTTAAGGAGCTCCACTGGCTGCCATTTATTTTCCGGGTCCAATTCAAGGTGCAGGTTATCCCCTACAAAGCCCTAAACGGTTTGGGACCCACCTACCTTTGTGACTGTATCTGTCTCCATGAACCAACCCGGGCCCTTCAATCTTCGGGGGAGACCCTCCTTTCGCTCCTGCCAGTCTCACAAGCTCGTTTTGTGGGCACAAGGGAGAGAGCCTTCTCCTCTGTGGCTCCCCGACTTTGGAACTCACTACCTGGAGAGATCAGGAAAGCCCCTACACTAGAAACGATTAAAAAGAACCTTAAAACCTGGCTTTTCTGCTGCGCCTTTGGCGAGTAGGTGCACAACATGACACTATTGCTCCCCTCAATGTTTCTGTCA